GCTGCTCGCTGTTTTGCCAGTGCTCTTCGTCTTCCGTTCGCCGCGGATCGATTCGTTTCTGCTCGATGGATCTAACCGATTCCTGTTTCCAGTGATGTTTGCTCGATAAACCTCTGCGGGCTCGATAAACTAACCACTATTAGCCGCCGGCTTTAGAGCTGCAAGTTATTAATTGCATCGGTGGCAAAGGAACTGCCGTGTAAACTATTCAGCACGCCAGGAATTAGAGTATTACTCGGTGAAACGTCGAATAACTGAATCGTGCGACTTCCGGCCGCCCTTTGACAAAGGATTGTCACGGTGTATCGTTACGGATTGTCGCGGTTCACTCGCAGTTGCAGACCTTTACATTTGCTGGAGGAATTTGCACTACCCGATACAGGTTTATCGTGTCACAGGTCGTCGTGATTATATAATTATTAGTAACCGTGATTGGGGCATGATATTCGATCACAGTAGCGGAGGTTCATGGGGACAGAGGGAGGATGCTAGCGGATACACAGGTTACACGGTTTCATTGATTGCGGGCATGCACTGCGGTCAACAATGCGTTATGTAGAGTATTCATGTAGATACTAGCTAGCGATTTTCCTTGGGTACCGTAAAATGCATTGAGAAAATGAAAGAAGAGAAAGTTTCAGTGTGTTTCTGTTTTAATGTTCTTTTGTGATTATTGTAATAGCGTGTGTTATTTTGTTACGTTTCTAACATTCCACTTTTTTTCTCAAGGTGATCTTTGACTTTTTACATTGAATGATATATTTGTGGAAGCATAATTTAAGATCAATTTAACTGTATACAATAGTTCTGAAAATTAAAAAGGAAATATTGAGTTTATTAATATTTTTTAGATTGTTAATAGTTTAGGATCGTGTATTCTCATTGGTTTATTATCGAAAATTATTAGGAAAATGTGTTAATATGTTTAATAGTGCTTTCTAATAGCTAAGATTGATGAGTCTAACTCTAAGAGTTCGAGATGATCGTAGAAATCAGTTTAACTCACATATCCAGAGTAATCGCGGACCTAAGGGACACTGCCATCAGCTACACTAAATGACTCAGTGTCTGAGTCCCGCCTAGAAGTGCACGAGGTTTACGACAACGCTCCATTGAGCCCTGACCCAGCCATAAACCTTCCAAGAAAGAAATAGCGTCGTCTATCTGCCTTTACGGGAGTGTATTTCGCACGGTAGGACAAAGCACTCGTAATCGGCTAATTTTCCACCGCTGCTAGCTGAAAAAACCCCAGGCCAATGTTATCCTTGTCTGCTCGCTACAGTTGTAAATGTCTGCGGGAGTTTCAGGTTGCTCCTAAATACATAACATCGTTGAAAAATTTGTACGAAAGACTTGTTTCAATGCATTTGATTTTCTACATAAACTGTACTTACAATTTTGCAACAATAATGCTGCTAATGTTAAAATGTTGCCAAGACTAAATTGATTTCTTTTAATAAAATATTATAATATATTATTTAATATATTAATGAACGCAACCTCACCACTTATAATTAAAAATTGAACGACTTTACATAAGAAAGTAATTAATTAAAAAAGTATATTCTAACTTTAATATAGAAACATTTTTTGATCCCTAGAATTCATTTTCTCGTTGATTTATTGTTAATTACGTGACACTAAGATCGCGAAGGTTGATGAAAACGTGCCGCACAAAGGTGGTCTACTTAATTACAGGAGTCTGGATACGTTTATAATGTACCCCGGTCGACGCCGTTTGTCTTTCACCCGAGTAATAGTCCAATTAATATAATTACGTAATGAAATTTTTTACACAGATAATTGTAGAACCACGCGAAGGATAAATTGCAGGTTGCTAGCTCCGGGCTGCAGCGCATGGCGTGTTGATTGCGTAGCATTACAGCGTGCTAGCTTGTATCATCGTGAATAGAGAGTTATTAGGACTAGACTATAGAGAGTAGCATAACTCGTGTGCGTGTTGAGATAATTTTCCACGAAAATCACGTTCCAATTAAAACTTCGCGCCTTTCAATCTTACAAATCATTTTGTTATAGCGGTTAATTACAGACTAGGGGAAAGAGGTAGAAGCGAAAATACTTGTATTATATTTTTATTCATTTTCTTTAGTCATTCTTAATATTGGAAAGTATGTTCAAAGGCTTTTAAGTTTGAACAAATGATGGAGCTCGAAGAGGCTTTTTTTAATGTATTTCAAGAAGTAAGGAAGTATTCGTAGATAAGCTTTTTGTTTGGCGATCAAGGCGAATGATTAATTTAAGGGGATTAAAGAGGCATTGTCGTGTCCTGCTAATGAAAACGAATACTGTTCTTTGGTTACGAGTAGATTACGCTATTCGTTCGCATGTTACGCTCGCACGGTCCATGTTTCTCATTCAGAAGCGAAAGTTACTCGCGTCGGTGTAATCTGGTAGTGACGGTACCCTATCACTTTATTCCTTTCTTTATTGCGCTGATAGGAGAAATCGTAGCGTCTGAGACGCGTATTGATACATAAAAAAAACGCAATGAACTTGTCGCTTTTCTTATCTTAAAAATTTTAAGTACACACTCTATTTCTACGATTGGAATAATTTTTGAAAAATTCGAGGAACGTATGTATTTGAATTTTTCATATTACAAAAATATTTTTAGAAATACAGAGATGTTTAATATATTACAAACTACAAAAGCTCCTTACCCCATTATTGTCCCACGCGTTCTACATCTTTTTGATTGTCAAACAATTCTAAAATCCACCGCGAAAGCAGCAACAAAACGTAAAGTTCCATCGAATTCGAAAAAGAACACCAAATTGAACTTCTCCAGTCACTCAGTCCTCATAGACTCCCATTGCGACTACAAACGAATTTTCCATTCGCTTTTTTCCGTCGTATCTCAGTCGTCCATCTTTTTCATCACTGTCCGAAAATACCGTCTTACCTCAAGAGCCCGTAGAAACGATGCCCGTTCCCGGGTTGGAAGTGAATCTCAAACCGGAAGAGTCCCCCATACGTTCGCGATTCTTTACGGTAGCAACACCTGCGCCAGACACTGAAATAATTTCGAATTTCCAGGAGGAACGACAGTTGCCAGGGCACCAGAACGCGAGAAATTACTCTTGCTCGACGAGTCAGGGAGCAGGGGAGTGGGCGCGAAAGGATCTTCCTACGCGGTGGAACGGCAGAAAGTGTGACGCGTTAGACTGACGACCACTGAACGAGGGTTCCGTTTGGCTGATGGACGAGGGGGCGACAGGGTCGGGGGGAGGGAGAGACAGGAACGAAGTCGAGGATAGATTCATTAGAGCGGCACCGGGGAACTTGATGGCGTGCCGTGTTTTCGTTCGAACTTCCGGTCAAATTGAATCACACGGAATTTCGTGGTAACAATCTTCTATTTGACTTGGACCGACCGACTGATTTACCCTCGGCATTTGAGTCTACATACATACGTGGTTCGAGGCGATTGACTTTTGGGAATCCCGCTGTCCGCCAGCGAACCCGTTGTTGCTGAAAGTTCCTGTATTGATCCTTTCTTCGGATTTATCGTTAGGGGGTTTCTGTTTTCGACGGTTTTACTCGTTCGCTGTCTGTGGATTGATTTTGTTACGTGTCAGTGTAGTTTTTTTTATGTGGAAGATTTATTTCGTGGGTGATGTTTTTGTAAAGTTTTATTAATAATGGTATACGAAATGGCGTATGAGTATTATATGTGTGGAGCAGTGATGAGGAGATGTGTTCTTTAGTTTTGAACTGATATTTGGTAATGAAAGTTGTGAATCGCCTTGAAATAACGGAATTGTTAATTAAATATTTATGTTTTATATGTTGAAATTGTTAGTTACGAATAGTATATCTATATGATTAGAAGACTCTTTCTGAAGTTATAATTAATTTGAACAGAACCATGCTTTGAATAGACGTATCGAAAACGATGCGAATTGATTGTATGCTAACGACGATTGAAATCAATTATTTGTTTTTAATTTAATTCATTGGTGCTGTGAGCACTGCGCGGGAAACAGCGGAAACTGTGGACACAGCAATATTTTTTAATCTTTTTTAATCATAGAAGTAAATTTCACAGTGATTAACAATACTTTTGATCGAGACACTATATTGAAAACTCGAAATTGCTTTTCATTCATTATATCGCGGTTTCAAAACTCTATGATCAATAGGACATGAATATTTTCTTTTAGACAATCATTATAATTTCAATTAGCGTGGAAATGAGGCTGTCAAAAATTGATTGGGCTCTATTCAGGAAAATGTAGGACACACGAGGCGGCGGGGTGTGTTAAACTGTTAATCCATCTGTGAAAGTGTCGACCCTTTTTTCCGAGAGGCGTGTATGGATCGGCTGGCTGGCGCATTGATCTCTGCCTTGGGAGGTTTTGCGTCTCATGAACCCGATTGGGTTAGCCTCGGGCAACCGGATGTGTTATTTCGAAGTCCGGGGGGATTTCGACAGGCTTGCTAGGACCGTTTGGTATTGTACAGTTGGGGGAGAATCGAGTATAATTAACGACCGCATCCGTCTACCCCAGCTTTATCTTTAATTACCGTGCGATAAGATTCAATTTCAGATATCAATTTGGATTATGTGGTTCGCCTTGATGCGAAGATAAGAATATGTCAATATTTTTTTTTCAATGCAATTCTGTATAACTTTGTGTGTAAAGAGTAAACAATTAGTACACTGTATTTATGAAACCATTCTTCAATGTGTCAATATTACAGATTGAATTGTGATAATTATGTTTATGTTAATTTTATTTTGTTTAAAAAGTGAAACTAAGCTATAATTTTGTTTTACTTTATTGTATTGTTTCGTTCAACATAAATGTATTTTTATACCCTGGTTGGTACGTACATGCAATTTTTGAATTTGTTATTGAAAGCTTTTTCGTAGAATGTTTTGGTTTTTATTGAATTAATTCAAAAAATTGTTGTATAATACAGAGACTTGTATGAAAGTACAAGTGTGTTTTCAATGTTAAATATGTGCATTTCAGATCAGGAGAACAGAGGCACCGAGTTCCAACTGTCTAAACAGAGATGAGTTGAGGATCGATTACGATGTTGTGTCGCGTTTCGGCCGTGGTGGCCTCCTTTTTGGTTCACCAGCTACACTTTTTGTGTGCCGCCGGTTCGCTAGGTAAGTACGCAAACAGATTTTCAATTTTCTTCACGAAAGAAGTGATGAAAATTTAGAAATAGAATTCTAAGTATAAAGTCCTATGACTGTGCTTAATTTTCTAAGGTAATTAAAACACAGTATCACTAGAATTAAGACGACGACAGAACAACTGTTCTGTGTAACTGTTATCAAATTTTAATCTTAAGTTATCAAAAATGAATTTCTTTCTTTTTCGGTGGTTTGTTCTGCTTAAGAATTTAAATCTCTTTAAAAATTTTAATCTCAAACTATTAGATACAATTAATGGTCTTATACTTAAAACATCTTTTGCCAAGAAGAGAATACGATTGATCAGGGATCAGATTGTTAATGATTCATCCGGAAATCTAAATAATGAGAATTAGTTGAAACTTATTAGGTAACTTGTTTTTAATGATGTAGTTATCAGATTGTGGAATTTTAATAAATTAAAGGAATGAAAGTAAATTCCACGATATCTTCTCGAAATAGTTTCATGAGCGTGAATATTAATTTCTCACGGGCGAAGACGCGATGTGATCTAGCAGTCCTAAAGACGACCACATTTCAGCACTTCCTTATGGAAATACTTGGAGGTTTCGTATTAGGTGTCTCATACATGTTACACTTACTTTACCGCATAATGCACCCTAAGATGGCTCACCTCATCTTTCCAAGGGCAATGAACCCTAATTTACTTCAAGTTTAGCCGATACATAGAATGTGAAATTTACTTCGTGGAAACTTAGTTATCTATATATTAGATCCAAGTTAACCACTATATCAACCACTTAAAGTCTTTTGACACATGTTAAGTACAATTCACGAAACTTCAATCGCATGTCGTAAATGACTGTAGAAACTTAACAAGAAATTTAGATTAGTTATGCCTTTAGTTAATTATTGTCGATTTTCAGTTCAAATTTTGACGAACGAAGTGACACAGAAAATTAGAGCATCAGTCGGATAATTGTTCTAAAAAATATTTGAATATTCGATAATACTTCTATCAGTTATGAATTAAGCTATCAGTTAATAAATTTAATATTATTAATTTCCCATAAATAGAATTGTTAGAAAATATCTATAGCTGTTATTCTAAATTTTTCTCCAGAACTTCTAACAATAACTACCAAGATAATGGAAGGAAACATTAGAATGTTTCAAATTTGCAGAGGATCAACTGAAGTATGACGTTATGAAGCATCAAAGCGATCTGGCCAAAGACTTCTCCATAGAAGGGAGTATTAATACTTTACACTCCAAGTATTCTTGGATTTTCACTCTGGAATTTGAATTTGCTTCAGCTATAATTCAATATAGTATGTATGTCTATACATACATACTTTACTAATTTATGTCGGAATACTTGAAAAGCTCTAAAATGTTACTTACTTATCATAATAATATGATTATAGTACTACAAATTACAATAAAACTTGTAAAACACGTAGCTATTGGAATGAAATTAACAATCGAATTTCTTTCGATGTAAAGAAATGCTTCAAACCTTTACAGCATCGACGTTATTTACAATTCTGTCATAGTAAACATTAACTTCACTCCTCGAATTTGAAATGTTGCGACACCTGGGTCTACCCAGGAAAAGAAATAACGAAATGCTGTTTGAAAAGTCAACGAGGGTCAAATTATACGCGCTGAATAACGAGCTACAGGCCGAACGGTCGGTTCCCAGACATTGTCCTATAATTTTCCAATTAAGGCATCGGATTCCCATAAATCTCACGGCTACAGACAGGAACCATAAATTCGACGCTGTATAGGGCGACAAACCGACCTCCATTCGACGCAGTTTTCGGTCCGAGGTGGTCCTTACATTACGGACAGAAATCTCAGACTCGAAGAAAGGGAGAAATCCATTGTATTTTAACAATTGCAAAAATCCTTGAGAGAGCTCATGATTTATAAATAGGATTATCTGTCTTGCGACAGTTCAAAGTATCATACGGTAAGCTGATCAATGAATTTTTTCAATCTCCATATTGTCTGATAATACCGCGAACCGGCAATTTTTATTCGTTTCGATAAAGTGAAAAAGGATCACGAAAAAGCAGCGATGAAATAGCGTTGAACAGTTCATACATTATTTTCGCGAAGAGCGTGTGATAAATTTTTTAATTTCACCCGTCGAACCGAAAAAGCCAAAATTATCTTTTTGCTATGGAAACCGACAGATAGTGTTCTCTTTTGTTATATGTGTGGACACAACGGTCGATGAACACGATTAAACAAGACAAAAATAATTTATACCCGTAATTGACTGTTTGTCCCCGGTATTCTCATCGAAACGAGTTCTCGGAAATATTTTCTAACTCCCTTTAGTCCAATCGAAACCTCTGTTTATTTTTCATATAGAATAGCAACTTCGACGTCTGTAAACTTTTCCGCTCTCGAGCTTTTCGGCAAATGATTGTTTAAAATTGTTTTCTGTTAGTTGAAATTATTCCACTGTGCAATGAGAAATTGGATTTTTTAATATCTATGCTTGTTGTTTCTATTGACAAATATTATTTCAAATAATTTAATGTCATCGATATTTTTTTGTTTAAATATCGTTTTAGTACCACTTTCATTTCTTTTATCACTTGTTTAATGAGTCGTTCAAAGTTTTATTTCAAGCAGTTTCTAGCCTTTCCCGGAGACTGGCGCGCCAGACTGACCTCGTTATTTTTCGGTTTCTAAGTTAATTAGCCCTTAAGAAGTTCCACGAGTGAATCATATTAATTTTTTGGAATCCAAGACTTTTTCACAGTGCAATTACACTGTTCGCCTTGGAATCTAGCCTAATTTTCGCTCCTGAAAGGAAACTTGCGGATTCGCAACCGCATAAGAGGAATTAAGGAAATCAGGATTCGCCCTACATTAAACCCGGTGTTACACAGAAGTGTAAAGTACCCGGTTAAATCACATACTTCCAAGAACCTACAGATTATTTTCAATTACTTCATGCTACACACGAAAAAAATTATAAAATAATTTTTTTGTCATTTGTCATAATTTCTTTTATTTTATATAAGAAATGTTTTATACTCAGTTCTTCTCGTTTCAAAAATCCCCTGTCGTACCAAGGAATACACGCGAATGCAATGACCAATCAGAGCGACGCGAAATCCACAGACCCAAACAATTTTCTACCGAATCCATCTTGTCGTGTAATTTCGCGCGCTGCGCTGCGCTGCTTTCGCGGACGTATTTCGAAATCCGAGCCGGCGACTGGGTTTATCCTTTCGGGGAGATTATGTGCTCCGTCTTTCCAGCAGATATTAGAAGTCCCTTCATTCCTTTTCTTGGCGCTGCCTCTGTACCGGGAGAACTCGCCTCGCGAGATTGGTCCGGCCGGAAAGGACCGGGTGAAGCGAGACGGGGAGACAGTCGGTCCTCTCGCCCGGGAGCTGATAAATTTCTCAAGGATTATCCTGTCGTTCTTTGCGAAATAGTTAGAAGGTTAGAGATGGGACAAAGTGTCGCAGCTAGGACCTCGGGGCCACGGTTAGGAATTGCTACGGAATACTCGGCGGAAAGAGAGTAGCTTGCTTGTAGTTCGGTAGAACCGATCAACCGGGAAAATAATTTTCAGGTTGCGGCCGTTCGCTCGTCGTCGAAGTCTTCCTTTCGCGGGATGAAGAGGGGGATCTTTTCTAAGTCTTTCCGAGCGAATCAGTTCATCGAGCCCGGCCCCCTGCGCCGTTTCGCTCGCCGAATTTGATGGAGAGATATTGCGTTCCCTTGCGGTCTTCCGGATTCCACTTTCTTTATTTTATTTCCCCGCCGGCTGACTGTGTCTCCTGCAAGCCGCGTCCTTTATAACGCTCGAGATTGCTTAGTTTCTCGATTTCGATTCAAAGGACGGGCCCCGCCGACTGGAAACTGACTTTATTACTTCTTCCCTTGCACCTCGTGCCAAGAACGCGGGCACGCGAACCCGCGGTTCACGTTGTTATCAGCGGATGCTTAGATCCCCTGTTAAGGGACCACTTGTCTGGGTTCAGCGCGCTAGATGGAAATTGCGGCAGATGCTCTTGACCCGCTTCCGATGCGAAAGGGTTCTTAAGAACAATGTTTGCTTTGGGTGGTGATGACTGTGTGTTTGGTTTAGGGGGATATAGAAAAATCGATTGGTTTCTCTGTGTCTTTTTCCTGCTTGTATTGTTAATATTGTCATTAATATTAGGACTGTTAGTGTTAATGGTAATATTGTTATGGGGTATTATGTTATTAATATTGTTATCGTGTATATCGTCCTTTAAATATTACATTATGCACAATGTTTCACAAAATGATGTACGAGTATAAATTGTTTCGTTTTCTGTTGCTGTATTTGTTAATAATTTATTTTTAAACACTTTACTTACACCGAAATTTAATATTTGAAATTTAAGATTGAACAGTAACTCGTTATTCTAGAAAATCTTTATTTCAAGTTGAAGTAGTATATAAGCAAGCGCGTATGGATAACAATTTATTAAGATATTTTCTGTCGAGTTTAATTATAAATTTTTGTACCTATTTAGAATGTTAGTAATTTTATGAAAATCACACTGAAGTTACGTAGATTGTCGCCTTTGTAGTAATAAATAGGCTTTATGTATAATAACCATTAACTGCCACGTGTTCTGTATAATTATGATTATTCGATTCAATATACGTTAAAACTGAGAGAACATCATTACTCATTAAGTCACTTGTATTATCTATAAGTTTAAAATCAATTGAATAATCATCTTTGAGCGTAAATTATTTGATGCGGATTATATACTAAATTTTCGGAAAATGATGAAAGTGCGGTCAGTAACAGAGAAATGTTTAGTGTTATTAGTTTCATGGTCGATATCACAGTGATATGGATACCCAAATAAACTTCTATTTAGGTAGAGTATAACATAATTCGAAACTGTTTATTATACTGAATATTTATACATACTAATTATTATTTATTATTTATTATGCATAATTCTACACATGAGAGATATTTCAGTCAATTCTCATTTGAATAATTCTAAACATAGCTTCCCACATTTAGTACTGATATTTTAACTCGAACTGCCCAGGAAGTATTGTATCAATTTCTTGTTATCATTTGTCACTTCAATTTATAATGAATTTTTCCAGTATCCATCAGTTAACGTTTTATAGCAAAACAAACAACCAAAATGGTGCTGGAACAAGGCATGGCGATTGTACTGATAATAAAAGTTCCCCAGGATGCCACTATAAATCACCTCTGTAAGCCGCGTTCAATGCGAGACGTGGCTTTGTTTTATCTTGCTGTGATCCTAGACACAAGACGTTACTCTGTCTCCGGATCGATAAGAAAGCTGCGTGGTGCAAATCTCCATGATGCCATCGTTAGTGTGACACGTATCAAAGAAGAATCGAATTGTTATAACATACAATTCTGAAGTTATGCGAACGATTCTATCTCAGCAAAAATATTGTTTCTTACTTAAAGAATTTTAGAAAATTTCTGTGACTGCTGATGAATACAGTAATTTAACAGCCATAGTTTGTTTTTCAAAAAAATATTCGTAAGCTGCAATGACAGTTACAATAGTTCCAATCGAGTCCAAGCATTCACGTCATCGGTTTGATTGATTATGGTAGGATTGGCAGCTATTGTGACTGTCACTGTATTTCTGAGCCGTTTCTTTTGAAAAAACAGGCGGCTGTATACGCAAGTATATACTAACTGTGAAAACTGATCAATCAAAAACATTCAGAATTGTATTTTTATGCAAAAATTATTGATTTAACGTGAAACATGTAACAATCGCAATATGAATGATCGCTTTTTTTTGGTACAAGAGGTAGTACGAAGTGCAAATTGGATAGATCTATCATTTGATGCATTTGAACTATCTAGTTAGACAAGTAGAATACAGTCGCGCTTGACTTGTGAACAAACAAGTGAATTAGATCAATCTATGGACCAACAGGAATGAAGTTAGGCTGGTTACTGAAGTTACATCTCCTGCAACTCTTGTTCTACAAAAAATATTTAGTTGTTTGTATCTGGCAACACCTGTAAATTGGAAGTAATTTGCATCTTGCATTTTATGTTGAAGGAAATGTTAGAATCGTTTTCTTGCGAAATCCCAGAAAATATCTTTTATATTAAATAACACTACTGTCTGTTAGTGTAAGGGTACGAACTAGACCCTAATTATTGCACTTCGTGCCGTCTAAATTTATTGTCGAAGGACCACCCAATTTTACACGGAATGGGGCCGTAATGATGTGCTTGCAAGTTTACACAACTCTCATGTCGTCCAGCGTGGATCCGTCCTTTTATACATTTTTTTGATCCACGCTGGAGACAATTGACGATCGAAAAGACGACGGACTCTCTCCACGGTCCGCGCTGCTGCGCTAGGCTCGTGGCTGTCCGCGTCGAATGCCACAATCTTTTGTTCCTCTCTACTTTGTATGAAACTGTAACAGTTAGGTACAACAAGGTTACCTTAAATTCGCGGTCAAGGTTTAATTATACGATTGTATCCAAGTAATAAAGCTTAGCCGGAGAAGTGTATAATCTGGTTCTAAATTGTTTCAGGTGCTAAGCCGTTTCCTGGACTGGAAAACCTGCCGAGGTCGTTCTGGCATGAGCTCAGTTCGCCTTTTACCGAGGTAAGTCGGCTGCATAATTGGAACGAGGAGTTAAAATGTCTTTTGAAAAAGCTACGGCCATACCTTTCGCTCCGTTTCACTCTGTATGCTGTACAAAATGTTATCTTGTTCTTGATGGCTCGCAAAGTGCCTTAAACGTTTATGTAACCTCTGCTTAGTGAAATATTTAAACGTTTCCCCATAATTTCTGAAATATTCCACTTGAATCTTGATGGTGAATATATTTCTCACTGACCTTTTACATTCTCTACTTATCACAATACTTCTTATTATTACTATTCGTTGTTATCACAAATTTTCGAAAGCTTCGAGAATATGTTCCAAAGATCTTATAACTTTTTTTTATTAATAACACGCGTATGATTCAAATTCTTCACCACTCTTGCAAACGTCATTAAAAGCGTCATTTTATCATTTGCCGACTTGTCCAGTTTCCCTATCACATTCGCTTTAGTTACGTTAACTTCGCTAAATCTGCTTTCGACTACTTAGTTTCATTTAATTCTGCGAAATAAGAAGATTACATCAGATTGCTTGGAAAAGTTCTGTACCATTTTCCACACTGAGGCTTTGGCTCCGAGATATTAACAGTTAAAAACTTAGGGTTTAACTTCTGAGGCTCGTTGTTTAAACCTCAAGTGATTGACCATCTTTTTGTCATACAACTTTTATTTTTTTTTCAATAATACTGTGAACACTTGTATATAGTAGTTTTCTATATATTAACACGATATACCGGTATTATTCACACTTCTGTTTACAAAGAAATTATAATACACGTGTAGAGTTCATAATTCCCGCCTATTTGCAGTTTGAACGCGTAGTGTTAAGTTAGTCGCAAACAGACTGCAGCGCCGAGGCGGTCATTAACGAAACGAAAATCGAAGTTTGAAGTCGTGGCGAAGTAAAGACGCGTGTAATGTTTTCCCTCGTTATCTATTGCATCCTATCGGAATCTGATTAAATAACGTAACAATATTTACCAAGAGAAATACTGAAGCCTCATGTCAATCGTAATGTAATTATTTCATTGAATTTTATCGTTCTGATAAATTCCTTTTCAACCTAAAAATTCTGAATTCTTTCTAATCGAATCATATGGTAACATATTACTCGTATATGATATTTTTAACTATTCTATAATGATAAGTTGACAAAATGTTTTATAGCTGTCAGTAGCTTAGAAGAAATAAAAGTATAAGCTAAAGGCACCAGTAATTGACCTGGTATCAGTAGTTGACCATTTTTCAGGAAAACGTAAAAAATAAGATTTTTACCGAAACACGTTTACCTGAATTAAATTGTGTATTGTAGAAATTAACAATTTATTTCATTGACGTTGGTTGTACGCTCCAATGTCCAACATCGAATTAATTTCTGTTCATTTGTATTTGTCCTTTTACTTGTAATTTATCATAATCGTTGCAAATAAACGATATTAAAGTAGTCAACTTTAGTGTTTTTGGTTTTACTATAAGTGGTCAACTGCTAACTAACATATAGTCAAATACTAGTTTTCTCATTTTAAAGAATGATCAACTTCTGACGCAAGTATTGAATTTTCAAAAATATGTATACAATTTGGATAATATAACTATTTCATAAAAATTCACTTTGTTACACAATGTAAGAAGTTCAAACAGCATTTTCACGCATAGAGTCTCTCTATTTAATAAAGAAGCAATTGTTTACTGTTATTTACGCAGACAATTTTTCTTAACTGGTCAATTGTTGGTGCTTTTACCTTAATTAACACGTTGACTGCCAGGAAAAACATCAGCGTTTTATGTACCACTTGCACCTTTGTAACAAAGATAAATAGGAATAATTATTAATTATTTGATACCACAATTATTACGTTACAATATTATCTAGTTATTTACGTCATTGAATATTTTTATTCGACGTCAGTTGTCTAATGAATTATAATTGTTTTCAAGTCATTTCAAAGCTCCGGTCACCAGTGAACACCGTGGCAGTCAACGCGCTGAATGATATATTTTCTTTGGTTCACAGGTATACGAGGTGGAAAGTTTGGCGACAGAAACTGGCGGCACCCCGGAACCCAGGCCTTTTTTCGAAGATCCAGAGAGCAACATTACTGTACAGCTCGGTGCCAAAGTGTATATGCACTGTAGAGTACAAAACCTGCAGGAAACTCTTAAGGTACATGCTCATTTCTCTTCTTTTACCGTTGCTTTCTGTGGCTGAGTTGCGCATTTTGGTCGTCGCGTACAGTCGCGAAAGCACCAGTTGAATAATCTCGGGATGCATTCGACGCGCGGACGCTCCTTAAAGGATTTCAAAAGCGTTGTTGCACGGTCTCGCGGCTGTGCACATGTTCCCAGAAAACATTCTAGTTTATGGTAAAATCTTCTTAACAGTAGCGGAATTTATACTCTTCATATTTCATCTGTTAACACTTTATATCTTTATTTGGGAACTTTACGAGCTGTAAAGCTTACTCAATTAACCGTCGAATGAAAACTGAGTTTGCTTTTTTAATTGTTTGTACAATCAAGGACAGGGTAAGCGTTTAAGTTATTTTTAAATTTCTCGTTGGTAGCAGAATGTTTATAACTACGTTCTGGACTGTATATGTATGTCGAAAGTCGGACTTTTAACGTTGCCATGCAGTTCCTGAAATTGTAGGGTAAAAACTCTCCAATGCTCGTACCAAATTCATTTTAATGATGTTAGGAGAAAAATTGTGTTCCCCGAAAAATGTTTGAGGAAAAAGATGTTTGCTTCAAAGTAGTAAATATTGTGTCAAAAGTGATATTTTCCAAAACCATATTTTCCATAATTTCAATATCATTAATCTCTTTCTATGTATTATGCCTTATCTTCATTATTATAATATTGGAGCCAATGAAAGACAAAATAATGCTTGTAGAAAGATTAGTTTATACCTTACAAGACTTTGAACTTTAAGATCTAGACCTAATAGTTAGGTTTTTAATTTTAATAATTATAAAATTACGAATACGAAAATTCTGTCGACGGTATGGATTGAAATGGTTCAGAATTAATCTCACGGTCATTAACTCTCGTGTTTTCGGTTTGAAATTGTGTTTCGCTCGTTCGTCCCAGCTCTAAAAGCTTTGCGCCGTTATCCTTTCCCGCTACGAAGAAAATCGTCGCACCTCTTTCATCTACAGTCACAGACGGCACTCCATCCCGTTACTAACTTCGCGAAAGAAAATTTCACGAATAGTTACCGAACATTTTCTCCTTAGTTTCGTGTCCGCTCGAGCAGAAAGGCCTCCATCGATATAATAAGTGCGTGAAGATCCTGCGGTTTTCTTCTTGGTCAATGAAACTGAATGATAAATCATGACAATATTGTTACGTTCCCAGTACAGTGATTTATTTTCCCCTCCGGAACCATAAATATATTTCACTGAAAGCCTGTAACCTAGAGTTTTGTTAGAACAGCCTTTCTATAAATAAGATTTATTATATTTTTTCTTAATTGTGCTGTTTTTATACAAGAAAGAATATGTTTTATTGAAATGGCTCGTGTAAAGTTTAAAATCTTATTAGGCTTCGAAATTAGCTCATTCTTTGTTGAATGTTTATTTAATTTCATTGAAAATTTATAATTATTGAAATATTAATCGGCAGATTATTCAATTAAATTGTTTGGAATTGTTAAATATGCTGTATAATAGCAGTTACGACTGTTACGAGGAGCAAGTTCCTGGAAAGTAGAAAGATATTCAAGTTCTTTAAGACTATAGTAATATTATAATATTATTATTCAATTAATTCCGGAGGAAGTAACTTTAGAAACAAACAGCTAGTTTTACTAGTCTTCGTATTTTTGTGAAGTAACTTATAAGCTTCATTAAGGTCAGGGCTTAACATTTCAGTCGACTTTATTCGGTTTCTTGTTATTTCTGTTGGTTGTCGATTAGATCGATCATCGCGTACCCAATGAAACGAGGACTCAATGGAAAGTCCGTATGAAAAAATTCATGTTTTTGCATGAAATCTGATACCGGTAAAAAATAAACTTGCGGTATTTTTATTCCAATTTTCCGGTCGCTATTCATTATTCCTCGTATCCTGCGACGTATGAAATATTAATCTTCAACGGAAACGTTACAAGATGCCGTTTCACCAATAGTTTTCATTAAGCACTCACAATTAACATTAGAAGTTGAAAACTTTATATTTAGAGTACCAAATCAATAATACACTGTTCCCAGTTTTATAATAGAATTTTAGGATTAATCGATTTAAACCAATTTGCCGTTAAAGAACATTATTCATCATGTTTGACGTTACATTTGCTTTCAATTAATTCTATTTCTTTCCAACCAATTGTATAATAAATATTTTTTCCATACGTTTCCTATTTTTCTTTTATTAACGTAATAATACAATTTCCTTACAACAACCCTTTATTAAATCTAAATTTAAAATTGTTCAGTTAATTTCATAATAAATATTCGTTACAATCCATTTCATACCCTTTTCTACATTAACCCTTTGCAGACGAGATTTTTTCAAACTTTTGAAAACCTTCTTCATAAGTTTCAAATACTAGAAAAAAGAAAACTACATATCAATCTCTCGTTATTTGTATAATTAAATTATCCACTTACAGCTTTTGAATTTGGATATCAAAGCTCGAAGTCTCCATTATGACAGCATTCGGCCACAAAGGTTTAATAGAATAATACAAATTCCATATAACTAAGTGTTAAGGCCACTTATAGCCTTACCGTTTCGTTCGAGCCCTTAAACTATCGTACTTTTAGTTTTGTATGCACTTTTTATCTTTTCTAAGACTTATTGTACATTTGGTAGTTTTTCGTAATAATAAGAGCCTTCGTCTCGCACGCAACTTGCAATCGTCCTTACGGTATTACGAGAAGGGACCGTGGCAGCCATAAATCCCCGAAACCATAAGGCCCGCGATTCTTGCTGTAGATTCTCCTTGTCTATTGTTCACATCTGGCGTCCAGTCACCAGCATTTTTAACTCTCTAGCCCGTCTGTTAGCATGTGTTATTAAGGCCAAAGCGTTTCTTGCTTTTTACCTGCCACGGTCGACGACTGTAAACGGGACGAATTAGTTATTAACATTAGCAACTTGGAAAACGCAAGAAACGCAAGAAGGGAGGGGACTGTCTCTCCCTTCCACAAGCATCTAAATCTAAAAGGGCCAACCAGAACGACTTCACCCCCGCGAAGACGACTTGCGGAGGTGTCATCGAAGACGATTCTGGGAGGCCCAGTCAGTCGAAAACACATAGTTAGACAAGTATCAACTCACCTAGTACATAGCACAGAGTACGGAGTAGGAAATAAGGATTAAAAAGTATCAATTAGCAATTTCGATCAAGCGCATAGCACTAGAGTCAAAGTCCGCTTCACCTCCTACTCATTTCTAAGTTTTGTTCCCGATCTTATCGAGACATACAAGTTTATTAGTCGGCACACCACGTGAAAACGCCTACAAAGCTCGACCACCATTACGGTAACCACGAGTACCTAACACTAAGACAGATAAAAAGCATTTAATCAATTTCGTAAGTCACCGTGTGTATCGTATTTCCAAGCAGCTGCACAGTAATACCGATACTAGGTTCATCCCACGATACGACTCCTCTCCAGTCAAGATAGAATAGCACAACCCACTTTCAATGATTTAGACGTTCCCGCAGTTGAAATGCTCCAGTTCGAAGCCCGGTGAATGCCGGAGTGATGCATGCGCGTCCCGGAAACTGCGAAAAAATGATCTCGGTGCACGCATAAATCTATTTAAAAGACCGCGACAAATTCGCGGAACGACTCCGACGTTTCTTCTCAATATTATCCGCGGTTGGAACGGGTGTTTTAAATCGCGCGCGGCAGTAAAAAAAACGTCAAACCGGTGAATATCGGCGAACGTTCTATGCCGTGCACGCTTATTGCGCGATATAGCCGATATAATCGTTGTCAAACTCACCGATGCGACGCTTTCGAGGCAGTCCGGAACGACGTCACATATGGCCCGTTACGTTCTCTCGCGCGCAGCCTCCGCGGAATTCAATCTTTCTAAGTGAGGATCCGCTGATCGTCTGGTAGCAGTCGTTCCGCTCGAATGAACAAGAAGTGCGTGCACGTAAGCCGAAACCTGCCGAAATCTTTCCTTTGATTAGTCCGTAGGAATATCGTGCGGTGGTTATCGAATATCGGATCAAGTACTTAACTGGAAGCATAATGAAATGTGATTAGCTTTTTTAAAAATATTGTGTTACGTGCGTTTGAATGGACTTGTTTGAATTAACTCTCTCTTTTTTATGAGGATTGCTAGTAAATCTAGGTTCTTTGCTTTGGGATTTCATTGGCAATTGCGGCAATTATTATTTATTGTGTTATACATGAATGGTTTAGTAATTAAGTGATTTTCGCGGAAGTAACGAGAAAAAGAAACACCAGATCTTGAATATTAAAAGAAACTAAGTAGCCAAGGGATGCAGATTTCTCATACTGCGTACTATAATAAAAGACACAGAAATAATAATAGACACAAAGATAGAAGCTCTATTGAACAATAGCCCCATAATCCATAATTTATAAGTGCAAGATAAAAGTCTTAGAGACGGCGGAAACTTCGAATACCTATGGCAACGAAGTGTGATTCGAACATTATTCCTCTCAGTTTCCTAAATTTCAAACCTATAAAGCCTTACTTCTACGTTTCGTGCTTAATTCCCCAAAAAGAGCGCTCACTTACACCCCGAAGTGCACCGAGCTCCTAATTATCCGGTGCACGAGGATCCCTCATCTGCCCAAAACGACGTCTGAAGCTTTCAACCCGTTCCAGAGAGATACGTATAAGTACCTGCACCGTTCTCGGTGCTGAAGTTAACGCGGAAGACTGTCAGTTGTCTTAAAGCGACGGAGAGCAAGCAAGCGACTCATCCCGAAACTTCATTAACAGCAACAAAAGAGCCGTTTCCTTGACTGGCGATCAATAACCTGGTAACACAACGTCGCGGCGCACCGGCTAATCTCTTGCTAGACGTTTTATCCGTGTTTTGATTGACCGTTGAAACGATCGATCCCATTGAAGTTCGTTGGAGTAGGGTTGAGCTAGGTTGCGCGGAAGTTTCGGAAGTCGGTCAGACCGTGAAGAATTGAACGAAGGTGACGTTTCCCTCCTATATA